TTTAAAAGGAAGAGCAGCAAAGAGAAGGGAAACTACCATGGATTACAGTAAGGCACACATTACAGTATTATTTTATGTTAAAAAATCTGAGGGTTTAATGTCACTTTAAGGATTCCTGCATCGGGAACATGTGATTTCCTGCAGCCGGAATGATCTGCCGTTTACAAGCAGAAGCTGTCCCCCATTTAAGTTAATAATTGGGTAACAGCTGTTGCATTTGAACGACGGCACACTTACATACCGTTAGGAATCAATCACACTCTCTGGACGCATCAATTGATGTCTATTGAAACAGCATATCTGAAGGTTCTTGTGGTCTCATTATTGCTAACTAGTCAGACTTTTCTGTTTCTTTTATTAAGGGATGTTTGTAGAATCAATAGACTAGTGACATGTCAGTGATATCCCTAAATCTTAGAAGTCTTCAGTTATACATCTATATTGTATCACCATTGAATATTGTGTAGATGCACTTTATTTACAATAAGAATGAGTGGCATTATGAATGCAGATGCTTGATATTTAATACATTTACATGAAAGTATGTTTCTTGTATTGCATGTAGGTTGTATATGTGAGCCCCCAGGCATGAGGTGTTTTAATAGGTTTATTAGCAAGCCGTGGCAGGCTTATATAATTTCTATCTAGATTTGATATAATTATTACATTATACACCAGTGGAATCCAATGTAGGCTATATGGATCAATGCAAATGTGTACTGAGTAAAGTAATTTATTGGAGTCTCATCATTTAGAATTTATTGTGGACTACATTGTCTGTACTAGCTCACACTGCAACCATTTTCCTGTCAATGCCAATCAATCTCTCAAGAGTGTCAAACGTTCACTACTATCTACAGGGCGAGATTTCTGCCCCTCAAGGGATACCAGGGATGTTCCACACACATTATGTTGCTTGTTAGTAAAAATAATTCTTGTATATAATAAAATTCCAGGTTGTTGTCCCTGCACAGCTTGTGGGTTTTGTGGATGAACTAGCTTTGTGTGTACCACTCTGGCTGCACTCTTGTCTACTCTTCTGGTTGTAAATTCTAGGTGAGCAATGCAGAGTGGATGGGCTTTCTTTCTCACCCTCTCCATCCTTAGAGTGCCAACCAACACTATAAGATCTGATAATAATAGGGTGATACTCAGGCTAGTCAGCCAGTGGGATAGAAGGGGTAGTAAAAGAAAGTAACCTGGTAACCCAAAGAGGGCCAGAAGCACTACTTTTATAGTCTAAACCAAAAGAAATTAGACAGTTTTATTAATCTGTGTATGCTTTTAATAACTTCTCAAATAGGATAACTTATATTTTTTACCACCAGAAAACATTCTATTGGGAAAGTAATATTTTAAGATGCGTTCAAATCTGAATATTAATATGTTTAATACTTTTTTCTGTTAAATAAAACAGCAATCATGGTTAGCAGTCAGATATTTTTTATCTTTAACTTAATTGAAAATTGATTTCCAGTGCAAAAGATGTGTAAGATTACATGTTAGAGAGCATTGTAGTAAAGCAATGTATAAATTTGCCCTTTGGGAGAAATTACTTCTTGTAGGCATTTTGCATTTCTGGCCACCAGTCTCTGACATCAGGTCTGTGAAATGTATGACCCTTCTTTCATTTCTTCGGTTGCAAGATGTTTGTGGATTTGTTCATTTCAAAACCCCCAACAACATTGTGATTTAAATCAGGGCGTTGACTAGGCCGGTCCATATTCCTCCATTTATGCTTTCTGAGCCATTATATGGTGGGTTTGCTATAGTGTTTTGGATAGTTATAATGCTGAAAGTTCCATTTCTGGTTCAAAATTAACTTACAAATGACTTCACATTGTCATTAAGCACTCTTTGATATGATGAGGAATTCATAGTTGAATCGATGACTTTCAGGTTCTTTTCCTGAAATGCTGTCTTGGAAGTTTGGAATTAAAATGTCCACTGTGGCAAACAATTCTAGGTTTGATTTATCAGCCAATGGTACATTGTTCCAGAAGGCCTAGTCTTTGCCTATATATCCAATGTCAAACTATGGTCTTGCACTAATGTTCCTTTTTTGGAAATTAAAGGCTTTTTTTTTTCCTGGCACACCTCCCTTTCAGGCTAAATTAGTGCAATCTCTTCCTGATTGCAGATGCATGGACTTTGACACCAACTATTGCAAGAGTTACCTGCAAATCCTATGATATAATTACAGGGTTCTTGGAGATTTCTTTTAGCATCAAGCAGTCAGCTCTTGGACTAAATTTGCTGGGCTGCCCAGTCGTGGAAAATTACCAGTTATATAAAACCTACGCCACTTGTAGATTTTTTTTCATACAGTGGAAATAATTCATTTTAATAAATTTGACCTTTTTTTGAAATCCTGCCAGACCACAACCTTCTTTCTGAGGGCATTAGAGGTCTCTTTTGATCTTGGCATGATACCACCAAACAGGTCAGTAGCAAAGAGAACACCAAACTCTGCATGTAAAGCTTAAAGTGCAAGTGCAGCCAAAACGTTTTGGATTGAGTGGAGAGGGATGAGGACATGTTTCAGGTTGCTTCCTTAGTGACAGATCTAGGCTATTTCTACCACCCCTGTGAAAGTACAACTGAGGCAGTCCTTTAACAAAACATATTATACAGTATATGTTGGTGTCCATTGTGTTTCATTTGGTTTAGGTTATTTATTGATTTTTTTAGCCATAGGAAGAAGTTTAAAAAGTCAGCAACTCTAGAGAGGAGTGCGGGAATTGTGAGGAGAAAGGTGTCAGCTGTGGCTAATGTGTGAGAGACCTGCAGTGTTGCAGAGATTCAGGACTCATATTCACGGGAAGGGATTTCGCCAGGTTTGGGACTCTGTATGATGAGTCGGACTTTTCAGTGGCAAAACTATCGCCATAGCGACCCAGGCGGCCGCCATGGGGCCCGGGGCACAGGGGGACCTTGCCAGAAGAAGGAACAAAGGGGTCTCACTGATGCCGTGCAGGCCGCCTGGGTGGCTATGGCATCGCAGGCTGCTGGCTGTCACTGGCGGCTGTTAGGAGGAACACGCTGCTGTCCAGATCACTGACAACCTGTCAGTGATTTCTGCAGCGGCGCGTTCCTCCTAACAGCCGCTGCTGAGTCAATGACAGCCAGCAGCTGCGGTGGAGGAGGCCGGGGCCCAGCAGCTGCGGTGGAGGAGGCCGGGGCCCAGCGGCAGCAGAGGAGGAGCCCTGGGCCCGGCGGCGGTGGAGAATGAGGCCAGGCGGCGGTGGAGGAGGCGGGGCCATCGGTGACTGAGGAAAAGGCGTGGCCTAGCGGTGGAGAAGGCTGACAGCGGATCGGGTCTGACAGGTAAGACGTGTGCAGGGGTGTGGAGCCCTGTGATTTCTAGTTACGCCCCTGGGACTTTACTTTGAGTTTTGCTGATTTTTCCACTTTTTGACTGCCCTGAAGAGGAAAATAAAAGTTTTGTTTTGTGGAAAAATCTCTGTGCAAGTGCTCTGTGGTCTTCCCAACTATACACAGTGTTGATATTTAGATGGCACTGCTGCTTATTGAAAATAATAGGATGAAAGCATTTATATTTTTGTATATAAAATAATTAACGGTTTTATATTCAACTTTCATAATTTAAAATATTAAAAAAAATTAAGAGAAAAAAAGCAAATAAAAACTTTATTTTTGAAGGTGCTAAATAATACATCAAGCCCATTTATGCAGTTATAGAGATGATGGTATGTGTTCATAAATGTTAATAAACATTTGAAATATTCCATTGTTATCATACAATAGCTATAAAAATAATCAAATGTGTTTTTTGTCATGGAATTGTACATCGTGTTCAATTAACTGCACATTGTAAGACAACCATGCATTATTAGAATAACACCATTTCAACTTATATTGGATCTTACTTGCAATCCTGTGCACAAAATGTTAATTGTATACTTCATATTGTTTATAAATTATTTTGGGAACGAACATCTGAATGGAGCTTTTCTAATATAAAATATGATGAGACGATATGTAAAGCTGTCAACTTCGTACAAAAACATTGTTGCCATTGGCATGTTTGGTAATTAGAATTCCTGCTCAAAATTCACTCCTGGCACCACAACATATTTTCTTTGACATTTTATATTCTAAATAGCCTTAAAAATGTCATACAAACACAATTGCTCAGTACGTTTCCATTTTATAACTATAGGTACCTTGCTGGCCTCGAAGAAAGTGTTGTTAGTTCAGATAACTTGAACACAATATACATTACTTGTACATTGCTTTTTTTTCAAGTAGCACTTGTCAAAATTATACATAGTAAATGTAATTAATAGTTAATCATGGTATTCAAACATCGTTTTATGACTTTTCACTTCTGGCCATAGTAACATTATGTATAATACCTTTTTTGTAGAAAAAAAAAAACAAAAAACTTCAGAAAAAGCTTCTATGAAATTATTCAATGGTATTGTTTATTCTTCAATAGCTGAACTCCTAAAATATGGTAAAATAATGAATATTTGCTTTAAAACAAGTTTGCATTCAATAATAAAATAAGGATCAGGAAAACAAGGAGTGTCAAGCTGTACAGTATAGTATATAAAGGAACACATTCAAGATTCCTATGAATGTGCAAAATAATTTATAAATCTGAAAATATTCATTAACAGTGTCAGCGTGACTTTTTTTTTTTTTTTTTTTACAGCACGTGATTTAATGCATTATTCATAAATGCAAATAATAAATAAGATAAATATTTTACAATAACATTTATTACTTGTAGTCCTGACAAATGATGTGATTAAAAACAGTACTATTAACAGACATGTATAAGTGTAGAAAGCAACCACATATCTGTGAGTCCTGGAAGAAATATACATTGATAGAGAAAAATGTGCAGCTTCGTTTCTTTTTGCATGTGTCACATCAGTTAAATCTTCTGATGGTTGCACTGAAAAAGTTTGCAGACTTAAATATGCATCACATCTGACACGTTTAGTAAATCTGACTTGGTATGTTTGATCTTGGCTAGTGTAACTAAAATTAAGATGCATAGCATGCAAGCACCTTAACATTACCTGCAAAACTGGAATGCATTATATAATGTGTATATCTGTCACTTTTTATTTCCACTTAGTGCAGTTTATCTGTTTTGTCCCAGTAGGACAACAGATGTCATGTCAGCAGAAAGTATTTCATATTGTTAAATTATATTGTTCATTATAGTCTTCCTTTCATCCATGTTGTCGTACAAAACATATCCTTCATATTTGTGCAGAAACAGTGACACGGTAGTGTCTCAGGTTTGTGGATTTTGGCACAACATAACTGAAAAAGTCTGTTTTCCAAAGTAACTGTACTTGTGAAGTTTTGGAGTAGTTATGCCAGCTATGCAAACCTTCCGCTTGATAAAAGTGCTTCAGAAAGTCATAACTAGATGGAATTACTCAAGGCCAAATGTACTTGTTTCCTCAACAGCAGTTAAAAGCTTCTCATACAGCATAGAAAATGAAGGGTATGGTGGAAGATCTAGTCGGTTGAAACATGTATGGGCCCTGAAAAACAAAAAACAAACATTATTTCCTATACTTTGCTATAGAAATTGCAAACAAATGAGTAATGCTGCTAGTGACAAATAATCACTTGTATTATTGCAACTTTTAAATCCAACTAGAGTAAGTACCTAAATTTGACTTAGTATCAGACCTATGTGTCTCCCTGCATAGTAGGAACTCAGACTGGAATAATGATGGGCAGTACTTGGAGCCAATCTAGGCTGTTCTGTATGCACAGGCGCTGACAAGGAACATGCTTGCAGCAAAAGAGAGCAGAGGAATGACCTCATTGGGGTGCTGTTCCTTCACTGTACAGTCACAGGCTGGGGGCAGTGAGGTGACTAAGCTGTATTGCATAAGGCCTAGATCACACCTGTACTTTTTGTAGCGCGTTTGACGCTCTATGAACGCTCTACAAAACGCTCAAACATGAAAATCCCATTGTATTCTATGGGTATGGTTCACACCTTGCCTTATTTCAGCCCGTCTGAAAGCGCTACAAAACGGCCTACGCCTGAAAAGATACATGAGCTTCTTTGCTGCGTTTTTGTTGCGCGTTTCCATTGGGATACAGCCAAGTAGCCCTCGGAAACGCGCGTTTGTCGCACGTTTTTTAACCGGTAAAAACGCGCGACAAAAGCGCATATTCGATGCGCCTAGGTGTGAACCGAGCCTAAGTGTAATAGAGAAAAGTCAAGTCACCAACCTGGCTCTACTTTTGCTCTGCACTTTGCAAAGAATACTCAATCAGAAGCCATGAAAATAATAATAAAAAAAACATTATTTCTTCTTGTGCGTGATTAGATGATGGAAGTCAGCAGAGCTTTACCTCATTCACTAAGGTAAGGGGAAAATTCCTTTACAAAGTGAACAGATTATTTGCCTTTAGTAAATCAACCACAATGTCTTCATGCCACTGTTATTATGTGTATACAGGCCCGGATTTCCCACAAGGCCACCGAGGCCCGGCCTCAGGGCGGCAGAGCGCAGAGGGGCGGCAGCGGTGACCTTGTGGGGAAGTTGCGGGCGCCGGTGTAAGGTGTCCGCAAACTACGGTCTGCCGCCGTCCAATCACAACGGGGCGGCCCGAGGCTCCGCCCACCGGCTCCGTAGTGTGCGGCCGCCGG